CAGGTGTGTCCCCAGGTGTATCCCACCCCCCCAGGTGTGCTCAGGTGTGTCCCCAGGTGTATCCCACCCCCCCCAGGTGTACCCCAGGTGTGCCCAGGTGCACTCACGCTGTGCAGGTTGTTGTAGAAGTCGACGCTGCCGGCGCACAGGTAGCGGCCCAGCAGCGTGGCGTGCGTGGTGAAGATGGTGGCCACCGGGAGGCGCCGCGCCCGGCTCAGCACCAGCCCCAGCCCCGCCAGCCACTCGTGGAAGTGACCCACGATGAACGGGCGCTCCTCGCTCTGCGCCGCAAACTGCACGCCACGCACGTGGCAACACAGGTGGCACGCAGGTGTCATCCAGGTGGCACCCAGGTGGCACCCAGGTGGCACCCAGGGGTCACCGAGAGACACCAGAGGTCACCAGGTGTCACCCAGGGGTCACCGAGAGACACCAGAGGTCACCAGGTATCACCCAGGTGTCACCAGGTGTCACCCAGGGGTCACCAGGTATGACCCAGGTGTCACCAGGTGTCACCAGGTGGCACCCAGGTGGCATCCAGGTGGCACCCAGGGGTCACCGAGAGACACCAGAGGTCACCAGGTGTCACCCAGGGGTCACCCAGTGTCACCAGGTATGACCCAGGTATCATCCAGGTGTCACCCAGGGCGACCAGGTGTCATCCAGGTGGCACCCAGGGGTCACCAAGAGACACCAGAGGTCACCAGGTGTCACCCAGGGGTCACCCAGTATCACCAGGTATCACCCAGGGCGACCAGGTGTCACCAGGTATGACCCAGGTATCATCCAGGTGTCACCCAGGGCGACCAGGTGTCATCCAGGTGTCACCATGTGTCACCAGGTGTCACCCAGAGGTCACCCAGTGTCACCAGGTATGACCCAGGTGTCACCAGGCGTCACCAGGTGGCACCCAGGGGTCACCCAGGGGTCACCGAGAGACACCAGGTGTCACCCAGGTATCACCCAGGGGTCACCCAGGGCGACCAGGTGTCACCAGGGCACCCCAAACCTCCCCAAAA